TATATAACAGACTTAAGGCATTTAAAGGGTTTCCTTACAATTAAAATTTTATCATGATGGTAAAAATATTAATTTACCTATTGGTCCCTTTCCTCCAGTCCCTCTTCACCTCCCCTGTTAACGCTGAGAGTTGTGCACATAGTCAGTCTCACTTGTCAAGGAATCCAGTCTTGTTGGAATGAAAGAGAAACATACTCCATGGAGTGCAGTAAAGATCCATTCCATTCTATCATCTCTTCACTCTTCCCCATTTACCATATCTCATCTGCTGCAGTGATTGTTTTTAATTTAAAATGTTTTAAATTTGCTATTAGCCAAAAAGAAGATATTTCTGCATCTAGAGATGTTGTGCATCACTAATGCAATGAGTGATCATAAAAGATATTATTCAGACAGGACATTGCTTGTAATAGAATATATTCCTGGATGCTACACTTCTGTTTTTTAGAAGTATGTATAGCATTAAAAGTCTTGAGTATAAATTTGGTTTAAAATTTGGTACACCATTTAAGCAAATATTATCCATTTATGAATTCAAAATATTTATTTGGAAAACCTCCCTAAAACTTTTTTAAACGATATATTATTTCAGCCATCAAGTTTTCCTCTTAAATCTGAATGCTTAATATCTACAAGCCTCAAACAAGAAATTGATATTCCATCATCCTCGGAACTGAAGGAGTCATTAAACTTAATGCCAGAAATAATAAATTATGTAGATGAAAATGAACAGCGTTTCAAAAGAGGTGAGAATTAATTTTAAAATGTATTACTTGTGAAAATCACTTGATAATGTTTGTTACACAGGTTCTTGTTCATTGAAATACTCTCTGAACCTCTAGATTTTGTAAAAATGTTTTGAGGTTACATGTTAAAATCTCTGAATTATTATTGATGAGATTCTCTTCTCATTGTCATTCTCTTTATATGACTTTTTCAGGCTTAAAACTACTCTGAAATGAACTTGCCATTTCAAGATAATTATACAAATAAGACTGAAACACCTATGACTATACTAATTTTTTAAAGAGTTGTTTTCTTATATACAATGAAGACACTATCAATTTCTATACTGACTTTAGTTAACTATGGAGAGGCTCACAGTAGGGAACTCAGAGTCAGGATTCATGGAATCAGATGACTGGAAGAGTCATAGTCTAGAATTTACATGGGTCATCCCAGTTAGTCTTAGTAAATATTACTGAGTAATTTTTAATGAAAATTTCAGCCTCCCATAAATTCCTTTTGAAATGATTCAAGATATAAAATATCAGGGAGGAATGTAAGGGGGATCTCTGATATCCTTTGATAACAGGGATGCTTGCTATCAACAGACCACATACTTGAAGTAATTCGTACAGATAAGACTAAATCAAGGTAATTACTGGTCAGCCTACAAGTCAAAGCAAAGGAATGAAAAGCCAACCTGAGAAAGTGGATCAAAGCCATGCCAGAACTCAAAATACGTCAGAGCAGGGTAGACCATGGGCTTGCTAGAAGGACACAAATCTCAACTCTATAAATACTAATGCAAAGAGCAACAAATGACTTTACTGAGAGATTACAATGTTATACCTCTAGCCTTCACTTGGCTCAGACACTATACCAAGTAAAGGAGAGGTCATTACCACAGAGGACTTCTAACAAGGAAAGTTATGCATTGAAAGGTCAGGGGATGGGCAATGTCCCAGGTACCTTTGAGTTGTGATGACAATAACAATAAAGCTGCTTAGGACAGCAAGAAAGTTACCTGCTACAAGGATATCTCAAGTAATAGCTCTCTCCCTGTTTCCCATTGTCAAATGGTAAGTAAAACTATCTATAAATTTGCCTATTTTGAACATATAATAAAAATGTAATCATATAATATGTGGTCTTGCTGTGACTGGCTTCTTTCACTTAGCATAATGTTTTCAAGTTGATTGATATTATAGAGTATATCAGTACTTCATTCCTTTTTATGGCCAAACATTATTCCATTATATGGATATGTCACATTTTGTTTATCCATACATCTGCTGATGGACATTTGGTTTGTTTCTGTCTTTAAGCTATTATAAATAATCCTATTATGAACATTCATGTACAAGTTTTTATACACACATATGCTTTCATATCTATTGAGTATGTATGTAGGAGTAGAATTGTTAGATTATATAGTAACTCTATGTTTAACTTTTTGAGGAATTGCTAGACTGTTTTCCAAAGTGGCTGCGCTATTTTCCATTTCTACCTGCAATTAATGAGGGTTCCAATTACTCATATCGCCTCCAAAACTTGTTATTATCTGACTTTTTAAATAGCTATCCTAGTGATTGTAAAGTTGTATCTCATTGTGGTTTTGATTTGCATTTCCCAGATGGCTAATGATGTTGAGTATCTGTTCATGTACTTAGTGGTCATTTGTATATATTCTTTGGAGAAATGTCTATTCAGATCCTTTATCCATTTTTTTTTTTTTGAGACAAAGTCTCACTATGTTGCCTGGGCTAGAGTGCCGTGGCATCAGCCTAGCTCACAGCAACCTCAAACTCCTG